GCCACAGCCTTCGATGAAATCAACTGAAATAAAAGACATTAAATCTCTCAAGATCTGATTAAACAACTCCACAAATCAGCATTACCAGCTTCACTTATTACCAAACTGACTTTATTTATGTCAGACATCTACAGAAGATCTTATTGAGAGTTACAGAGGTTTAGATGTTTTTTCCCCCCATCATTTTCATGATGGAGATCTGCGTTTACTTTAGTTGGGCTCTTGAACCTTGACTTTTTAATATTAACTTTTCTTTGGCTGCTGTAACAATGTGTTTTTGAAACATGTTTGTTATGGCAAAAAAGAGTCAAAGAAAAAAATCTGGTATTGTTGTTTATGAATTGATAATAACAATCATCCTCTTATTCCTGATTTACTGATTTTATCCAGTGAAACATACATGCTAAAAAACAACAACTTACTTACACATAGTAAGAAATGGTTATAAAAACTGAAACAGAAGTGACATATTAATATTAAATATAATAAAAATATTAATTAACCAATTAATATTCATATTAATGAATATTAATATTAAAATATTAATATATAATATAATACTAGAGCAAAAGAGCAAGCACTGCTGAGCCATCATGAAAGGCCGTTAAAACACATCACTCACTAAAAAAAAAACAAAAAAACCTGTTGTAATTTAGACACACACATCAAGAATCCGCGTATGAATATCAACAATCCACAAAATAAATAAACAGATCAACTCCGAACATCACAAAACATGCTACTAAAACTCAACTCAACACAAAAACAAAAGCAAAAATAAAAGCACATAATAAGAATTCAAGAATATAAGTGGACAATTCAGAAGCATAATTTATTCATGCCACAATGCATGCTGGGAGTCATGGATGAGTTTTGTACTGTGCTGGTACCCAGCATGCATTGCAGCATGAAGCTTTTGATTGTCACCATTGTTGTCCCTCTTTGAGTGTAAAGGACATAGTAGTTCAACATGTTTTAAACCCAAACTGTTTTTAAACCCTTATTTTCTGGTTTTCACAACACTGCTTGATCTCATGCTGTAGTGCACTTGAAAAATCAAAAAAATATAAAACAACACTCATATAATTAGGCGTTCAATGAGTCCAGTACGTGAGACTCTCAGTCTAGCAGACAGTAAAGCTGTTTGTCGAGTTGTTTAAGTCTTCAGTTGATTTCATCTAAGGCTGTGGCTGAAGTCAGTTGTAGTTCTTGTGTGTGTGTCTTGTTTCTCTTTTCTTCAATGAATCTGCTTGTTAACAGCAGCTGTTCATAATTGGTTGAATTCACTCATTAGTGTTAATTCTCTCTGTCAGGTGGACTGTATTAGTAAACTCATGTAGGGAATAGTGAATGAGGGTGTAGGGTGTGATTTGAAACACAGCCTCTGAGTGTCGACTTTGAACGTTGTTAATTCACAATATATAGCAGCAGCCTACTTTCTCGAAAAAGACAAATATTACCCTTTTTTATCACGTTTTAATGGATAACAGCATGTTACTGTCAAAATTTGGCCGTTTTTTTAGGTATAAACAGAGGTCGGAGCCATCTCCAAATGGGTGGGACTTGAGCTCCAAGTAGGCTGTACAAAAGCTCCTGGGGCTTTTGATTGATTTATTTAGTCTTGTACAGGACACAGAGTTACAGCTTGTGTTTTATTAACGTCTACACCTAACAATAATGCAAAACTTATTTACCTTGCGCGATGTTACAACAGAAAGCCTGTCATTCATTCAGCGCTTATCATGGTGGAGATATCTTATTTGTAAGTCGCTTTGGATAAAAGCGTCTGCTAAATGACTAAAAGTAAAAAGTAAAAAAGTAAAGATGCTGATAAACCTCTGTTGTGCAGCACTTTGTTTGCCAAAAAATAAAAGGGTTTAATTTTCATTTGATTAGGATAAATTAAATTAATGTTTTATGCCTTCATCTGATTATCAGAAAAAATTAAGAAGAACATTTATAGGGACCCTATAAATTAATAGAACCCTATTATTGTTTTAAAAAGGACCCTATACAAAAAAAGAATAGGTTTAAAAATCGAGAATCGAATCGAATCGAGAGCTTGCGAATTGAAATCGAATCGAATCGGGACATCTGAATCGATACACAGCCCTAGTAATTATTGTTGTACAGTGTGAGAAAAATTAGGCTATATTGATGTGCTCATGCTCGCGGCGTAAGTCCCTCTCACTTGGAGGTCTCCGGGCTGCAGCGATACATACTTGTTTTTTTTTACAGCAATTTTTAACAGTGTATTTTAAATGCAGCCAGATCTATTTGTCTAATAAACCTGGCATTATTTATTATGACTTTAACTCTTTGACAAATTACATATTACCCAGTGGGCAATTGATGTTGAAAAGACATCAGTTTGATGTCAAAAAAAAGGTTAAATACAGTATGCAAACCAAACTGACGTCAAAAAATTTCCCCTGGAAGAAACTACCATCCAAACTGAATTTAAAGTGATTTTACAGCATCTTCATTAAGTCTTGACTAATATTTGACGTCAAATTGATATCAAGGTGATATCTGGGTGCAGACTACACAACAATTATTATTTTACCACATTTATTTTAAATTATTATTATTGCTGTTATTATTGTTAATTATCACTTTTCCTGGTTCAATAGGGTACTCTTGTAAGAAAATAGCAGTGGCAGGGTCAGACATTCAGTATCACTGCTTAAAAAGATGCAATCTAATCTTGTTTACGTGAAATAAGTCTGCTCCCAAGCAGGCTTTAACTTATGGACTTGTTATCACAGCAACTCCAAGATGAGCTTCAAAGAACGTCAATGTCAACAGTAAAATCCAGATAACTGAGTAATCCACGTATGAGGAATGGGCCCCTAGTGTGAGGTTCAAATTTTGTGGTGGGTATTTCTTTTTTTGTTTTTTTTTTGTATTTTTGAGGTTTTGTATTTTGTATTCTACACAGTAAAATCCTGAGTGTTAAATTAACACTGCTTGGAGCATATATGGTCCCACTCTAAAAGAGTGTTAAAGTAACACTGAAGCAGTGTTAAAGTTAATGAGATAATTAAGTGATTAATTAAGTGCTGATTGAGCATTAGTGCTGTTAACAAGCAGAATCACTGAAGAAAAGAGAAAAACAAGAACTACAACTGCTTTAGTCACAGCCTTAAGCCCGGCTCACACTGTGCGATTTTGGCCACGATTTGGTCGTCTGAGACAAATTTTGAAAATCCTAAAAGATTCCTATAATCTTAGGCTAAAATCTGTAGTCTTTGATCGTTAGTTTGACATGTTCACCGACAGCCAATTAATGACCGTTGCGATCAAATTGTACCTTCGACGAACTTCTGGCAGTGTCAGAAGATTTGGCGCACAGTCCTGCAGTGTGACATCTCCTGCGACAAATGTCAAACTGTCTTCGTTTTTCAAGACAAGCCATGATCAAAATGAATGCTAGAGATTTCTTCTAACCGCATAAACTTCGGCGCTCTCGTCCTCCGCTCACATAATTCATATGATTCATTGCCTTTGCTATGATAAACACCGGTTGTGCTGCTGTTTTCATGTGGGTGTATAGTGCTGCTTGCACTATTCTGCATAAATACGCCGGTATTGCCGCCATTCATATGCTTTTAATGATAGCCAACATTACAGCCCCTCGTGCAATGCAGCTCGCAGTCACTGAACGTGTATGGGTTGATAAGGTAAAACTCCGGACAAGTTTTCTTGCACGCACCCATTTTTAACGCGTCTTGACTGTCGTAAAGTCTGTCATTAATGACAACTGAGATCCCACAGTGTGACATGATCATCATGTTCGTACAGTCTAAAGGATTTAAAAAAAAAAAAAAATTGCACAGTGTGAGCCCGGTTTTAGATGAGCTGAAATAAAAGATATATACCCCCGGTTTCACAGACAAGGCTTAAGCCCAATCCCAGACTAAAATGTAATTCTGAGCTATTTCAACGGAAATAAAAAAAGAAACTTGCACTGACTGATCTTAAAATAGATCAGTGCCTTTGTTTTGTCTCAAAATGCACACCAGTAATGTTTTCTCTAAGGCACGTTTATAAAAATTACTTAAATGTCCTAATTGAACTATGGCCCAATCCTGGTTTAGTCTAAGCCCTGTCTGTGAAACCGGGCCTAAATCTCTCAAGATCTCAGCAGAAGATGATTAATCATCTCCACAAACAGCATCACCAACTTCACACATTAATGACAAGTTTGACTTTTTGTCATGTGTCTAAAAATTTCTTTAGATGTTAATGTTTATTGAAAAGAATAACAATTGGAGATAAATTGAACCGTTGTGGAGATAAGTGTTTGCTTTAGTTGGGCTCTTGACCCATTAATATTAGTTTTTCTCTGGTTGCTATAACTGTTTATGAAACACATTTGTTAAAAAACAAGAAAACATGTGATCAGGATATGTTGGCCATTTTTTGGTAAAGATGTAGTTATGTACAACATGATTCACTAATGTCATCAGTGGTAATGTGTAGTTTATGTTGTTGATCATAACTACATTATAATGATGAAGAATTTAAAACACTTTATTTAGACACGCATACATCAAGAATTGACATATGAATCTCAACAATGGTGACGATCATCTGAGAGATTCATGTTGTATTGCATTCTGGGTGCACAATCATAACTCATCCATGGCTCCCAGCATGCATTGCAACATGAATAAATTAAGCAGCTGCATTGTCTTAGTATTTTCTTTTATTTTTGTTGTGACTTTTTACTGCCTTGTTTTGTGACGTTCAAAAATCATATTTTATATTATTTATAATATTTTATCACCATTGCTGAGCTTCACAAGCGGATTCTTCATGTCTATGAGTGCCAGATTTGAAACCTGTTTATGAGCCATATTTCTAAAAGTGGTTTATTAAGTTTTCTCACATTGACATCTCATAGAGCTGCAACAATATTGAAATCATGAAAGCTCTACAGATTTCTCTTTAAAATTCAATGAGAAACTGAGACACATGCGATTATTTTATCATAAGCACCTTATCATCACATATGCGTTTTATAAACACAATTTTAACAACCAAAAAAAAACATTAAATTTAATGAGTCAAGGGTCAAGAGGCAACTAAAGCAAACACTATTCACCAAAACGGTAAGTTGAAAAGAAAAAAACCCATCTAAACCTTAATTCTCAATAAAGAACTTCTGTTTTAGATACTCCAGAAATAAAGTCTAACTGGTTAGTAATGTGTGAAGCTGGTGATGTTGTTTGTGGAGATGATTAATTATCTTCTGCTGAGATCTTGAGAGATTTCATGTTTTCTTTTATTTCAGTTGATTTCATCTAATGCCATGTTTTTCAACACTGATGGTGTCTTCAAATTTTATTATTTTCAATAAACATTAACATCTAAACCTCTGTTAATTCTTAATAAGAAATTTTTTGATGCATGACAAAGTCAAACTGGTTAGTAATGTGTGAAGCTGGTGATGTTGTTTGTGGAGATGATTAATTATCTTCTGCTGAGATCTTGAGAGATTTCATGTTTTCTTTTATTTCAGTTGATTTCATCTAATGCCATGTTTTTCAACACTGCACGATTTTCAAACTCGTCGGATTGCCGTTGTTTTCACACTGCGTGACTATCTGGGGTAGCATTCAGTTGCTGCTGTGTTCACATTGCACGATGGATCG